GCTTGCCCTTTGTTTCACACAGATATATAACTGTCTCAATGGCAAGGTCATGTGACACTTTAACACACTATTTATTTCTCTTCATTGTTTCCTCACTCGATCTCAGTTATGACATTGGATTACAGCAAGGCAACATCCAATAAGAGCAATTTTAAATCAAGACAAGTTTCAATTATCCTTATTGTCAGCGAAAGCATGCCCTGTCTCGCCACTGTTCTCCTCCATGCTAATGCACCACTGGTCGGTGGGCCGGAGGAGGGCCAGCGGAGTGAAGTGGGGTGGGCGGTGGGGGGGCTCTCAGAGGAGACTTGGAGAACATGCTGGTGACACATTGATGGATCTCAGTCCTGCTTCGCATAATCATTCTCCTGGCCACTTGAGGACAGAGAGAGAGGGAGGAAGAGAGACAGACGAGAGTAAGCTGAGACAAAGAGACAGACAGAGAAAAGAGGAAGACAGAGGGGGAAAACAGAGAAGGGGAATTAGGGAATGAAAACTGTAAGAAGAACCAGAATGCCAAGCGGTGCATTATTCTGAGGAAAGGAAAAGGCAGAGAGCTGAGAGATGCAAAGCACTCGGATGGAGGACCTGGGCGAGGGGGGAGGGGAGGGAGGTAGTGAAGAAGGTGAGAGGATGGAGTCAGAGGGTGAGAGGCGTTGTAAAGGAGGGCCGAGGGAGCTGAGCATGTCGAGGAATGGGAGAGATCAGAGCTGCAGCTGTGGCTTGCGATAGCGGTGTGTGTGTGTTCACACGCTACATCGTACATCTGTTCATTCATTCCCCTTCGCTCTGAGCCAGGCGCCGCCAGGTGATCATTTTCTCTGTGAATTAGGACTCCCGGCAGAGTATAGTCCATTAGGGTGGATCGCTCTGTATCAGTGTCTCTCGTAACCAATTGAGCATGAGAAAGCAAGCACACACAAGTAGCGGCTGTCACCAAGAGCAGGTGCAGCATTGTACAAATGTGACACTTGTTTTATCATGTCTTGCTGCTTTGGTACAATTGGAATAGTTGCAGAAAACCTGGATTTAAAATGGCATTTACCAATTTTTTTGGTACATTTTATTTATCATATACTTTTTTGCCTCATGTTATGAAAATGTTCTCAGGAAACTCATGATGTCTTACAAAGCATTGTTTATTGAAGCGGCAGTCTGACCTACTACTGGCTTACTTAAGCCCAGCAATTGACCCTAACGTGACCGAGGAAACCCCAGTCATACCCCTAACATTCCTTCACACCTCAGTTTATTTTATTAAAATGTTGTAATTTAACAACAACCATTTGGAAACCTTGTACACTATTAGATTAACTAACAACAGTAAACCGTAACTTTATCATATCCTTCTTTGTCAGCTTCATCTCTCTACACTATTTTGCCTCACCAAGGTATTTTTATCAGGTCTTCAACTGGTGCAAAATACTCAAATAACTCGTTGATTGAAGAATTTTTGTTATTTCATCCTGCATCGTCTTATGGACCAAGGAGGAAACTCTAATTCTGAAGATGGATAGCAGGTCATGCTGCATTTTATATGTATTATCTTCTTTGGTTTCACAAAGACCTCAAAATGAAATAATTAGGAATGCCCCATTAATAGTCGGCTAAACCGTTAGTAGATGAGAAGTGTTTTAGTCATTAGTCGGTGAACATGGACTTTTTCTCTTGTAAAGCCTGATTTGTATTCCAGTGTTGACTCTATGAGCATAAGGCATAAGCTACGCATGTAGCTATTCATTTATACTTGTGTGTTGGTGCTGGCGTTGTTCTGCAATTACACCACCAATTAGATTTTTTGTGTCCAATGTGTTGACTTCTGTCGACCGAGCTGGCTAACTTCCGGTTTAACTGCCATTAGCTTGTTAGCTTGTTAGCTCAGCCCTATTAGCTGACTCTACCTAGACTTGTAGCTCTGAGTACTGAGGAAGTCTTGGTGTTTGTTTACACTGCTAGCACAAAAGCTTTGGACATCTGGGAGGAGGAGGTTTTAACGGCGCAGGAAACTAGTGGGGAATGTGGCCAAGAGGGTTCCGGAATGAGCACGAGAACCGGAGCTGGGTGAGCAGGGTGACAACAGGGAATACAGTACGAGGTTACTGGCTCCAGCCAGAGGGGTCAAGAGGGAGAGGAGCAAGTTTGTAGCGGGTTCATTTGTAATGTTATAGATCATCCATCGTGTTGATAGGTCTGCGGGTATTTTTCTTGTTAAGTTGGAAGCAAATTATTTCCGTGTTTTGCACAACAAAACTTGCAGCACGCTGTGTTAGATGACATGTCTTACTAATGTCTTGAACTAAAGACTACTAGTCAACTAATCAATTCTTTAGTTTCGGGATATAATGGATACTGTGCATAATTAGTCAAGCCATTAATAGCATTTATAGCATATTTTAAAAAAACACACTTACTGTTTGGCTTTTGACTGCATCGTTTTTCTGGTTTTAGCTGTATGTATGGCATTGGTGTGTGTTAGGAATGTGTATATCTCTTAAATTTATCTCAATTTGACATAGCTCATCGGATCAAAGCATTTTTAAGTGGTTGTTGTAAATGCTGACTTGACAAAATTAGCTGAGAACCCTTTTGAAAGAACAGATACTGTAATTTAAAGGGTAATTTAATTATTTTCAACCTGGGCTTTAATTTCCTAGTTTTTGCTGTCATGATGATTGATTGTGTTCACTTACTCCTCTGTATAGCTTGATGTACTTATAGTTTGTCTGCAGTGGTACTCCTCAGTACACAGCCAGAGGGCTCAGGGCAAACACATTCTCAACTGCTGAACGCAAAAAGCAATTCAAAGACTTTCAACACAATGACAGCCACACAGCAACAGGTCCTGTTTTAACATCTAGTGTCTGATTATTATTATTACAAGATTAAATAAGATTGTTTGTCTCTCAAGTGGTGTCATGATCTGTGGCTGATCAGAGTTTCCTAGAGTCCACTATCATAGGTGTACAAAAATACAAATTACAATTACTATGTATTATTATATTATATTCATCTCTCGTCTATAAACTCAATATATGTGCTATCATATTGAACTTTGATACAGCTGTTCAAGTAAAAAAAACATATTACGAATCATTTCTAACAAAAGACTAACAATAGCATTTTCCCATATAACAACCAGACTAGCAATTATCCTTTAAATGGAACATTTTGCTGTGTTATTATAAATCTTTTGCTGGCTCACCATAAACAATAACAACAAAACATATTTGGCCCTCAAAGCCTTTTCCACAGATCTTAGATCTACCAATACACACATGCATGTAAGGTATTAAAGACCAGCCCAATTTACGCTGATCAGATTTGCCCCTCCACGGGGTTGTTCCCGGGTTGAGGCTCGTCGGAACCGATTATCGGCCCAAATGATCCTGTAGTCTAAGGGGTTTACAGACATAATCTTGAGGTCGCCGACTGGATTGGAGGCACCCCAATTTCAAATCGTACAATTGCCCACAACATCAAGCTGACTGGGAAGCGTCACCCACATGTTCTATAAAATGTATGAACCATGCTGATTACCTCTTTTCAGCCGGGAGTTCCTCGGTTCATTTTCTTGCGTCTTGACTGAATCGTCTGGTATGTGGGTTCTTAAGATTAAAATATTAAATATTGCTTAATTCTGTTGTTATGTCTATGATATCCCACATTTTTAAAACGTGTCTAACGTTAGCTTGCTTCTTGCTTCAGCTATGACCTATGGAAGGTTAAGTCTGACTGTCGTTCGCTAGATGGTATGAAAAGATGAATGAGCGTTGTTAGTTGAAACTTGTGGCTGCCATCACGTTAGTTATTAATATTTGCTGCAAAGAGGCAGTGTTGTGTGTCCAGTAACGTAACTACTTTTTCGGGTAAAAAGTAGTGTAACGCTCTAATACGGAAAATTTGGTAACGAAACGTAGTTCCTTTTTCAACTCGGCGCAATGTTACTTTTCCCATGGATAGATTTGACCACGACACTGCCTTCTCAGCTGCGCGCTTGCGCAATAGTCACAAGCTCCACACGGTAGGTTACGGACAGAGGCTGGAAGCAGAGCAATCATGGCAAGCGAGAAGCAGCCAACGCTAACTTTTGAGGGATGGAGGTATTCCCATTACTTCAAACTCGTTGAAACTAAGGGGAGGAATGTGAGTGTAAGGTGTACACTGTGTCCTGGCGAGAAAATTTTGTCCACTGCCGTTAACTCAACTGCCAACCTTACCAAGCATTTGAAAGGAAAACATGCTAACATGAAGCTTGTCGCTCAAGATCCCCGGGGAAATGATATGTCGAGTCCAACCCCAAATAAGCAGCTAAAACTTAATTTTCACCACCAGGAGGTAACTAAACAATCTCCCACTTTCAGAAAGATACTTAGCAAAATACCTATAACAGGAGACAGGCGCCCATGGTCAGATCGTAGAACTTTCACGGGCTATCTGGAAGAATGTTATCTAAAAATGGAGACTGAATTAAAGAAAACGTTTGAGAGTTTGCAGTATGTGTCAACCACTGCGGATATATGGAGTAGCCTTAACCGAAGCTTTCTGGGAATCACTGTGCACTGGATCAATCCACGCAACTTGAATCGTGAGAAAGCTGCCATCGCATGCAAAAGAATAAAGGGCAGGCATACTGTTATAGGCTTTGAAATGGAACAGATTCACTCAGCGTTTGGCCTTTTACATAGGATAACCGCCACCGTTACAGATAACGGATCGAATTTTGTTAAAGCTTTTAAGATGAATGCACCCCCTGAGCCTGACGAGGAGGAGGATGAAGAGCAAGGTGTAGTTTTCACAGATGTGGAAGAGTTGCTTGGGACCACAGAAGGACAGTTTTCTCTTCCCCCACATTTTAGGTGTGCTTCGCATACGCTCAATTTGATCGTGCAGTGACATCGACAAATGGCTGTCATCCAACAAAACTGACACAAAATCTGTGTACAGGAGTGCAACGGCGAAGTGTGGTGCTCTTTGGACAAAAGCAAGCCGTTCTACCGTGGCCTCTGAGATTGTCGATGAAATCTGTGGGGAAAAAATGATCGTGCCTACATCAACAAGGTGGAATTCCTTCCACGATGCCTTGTCCCGTATTAGTGACATCCCGGCCCAAGATTTGAATACACTTTGTACCAGACTGGACATCAAAGGCCCGACGGAGCGCGAACATCTATTCCTAAAGGAATACTGCAGTGTTTTGAAACCACTGACAGTAGCACTGAATATCTTGCAAGGTGAAGATAACTGCTACTATGGTACTCTTCTACCAACACTGGAGACCCTGACGTCAAGGATGCTCGCACTCCAAAATGGATTGTCAAGGATGACAGCAGACCTACCAGATGTAATTATACAGGTAAGTATACAGGTATCTGAAATTTAGTAACAGGCCTACTTATTGTATCCTAGTCACTAAAGAAAACTAATTAGTTTCATATTTATGTTTAATTAAAATAATAAAAAAATATTAATCTATGTTGTTGTTGATTATATGAAAAGTGAAAAGCATGAGTAAGATCATAATTTTGCGCAATATATCAGGAGACGAATGGAGTGGGCAGACATGATTTTGACCACTTCATTTAGTTTGTTTTGTAGAAAGCCTTTCTTTAAAGTGACTTTCATTTTGTATTAATTGTATCTTAATTTTAATCAATGTTTTATCAACCAATTGCCTGAATTTAATAAATAATAAATAAAGTTAATCAAAACGTATCATTTTGTCCTAGGCTATCAAGATGCGATTCGCACCAGTGTTGGAGAGCAGGGAAGCTTTATTGGCTGCCTTGACGTTGCAGAAATTTAAAGTTCTGTGGATAGGGGGAGCAGAGCGGAGAGAAGCGGCGCGTGCGCTGCTCATCGCAGAGTGTCGCACTCTACGCCATGATGCAGAGCCGGCTGAGAATAAAAACAGAGAAGTTGCCGCACACAGCAGCGCCAATGAGAAGGACTTTTTTTCTTTTGATGAGGAGGAGGAAGACGCAATGCCCTTTAGTGCAGACTCAAAGGTACATGAGTACATGAGATCAGGCTCAGAGTTGGAAGTTGTCAACCGTTTCCCCTGAGTGAAAGCTGTGTTCATGAAATACAACACTGCCACACCATCCAGTGCACCAGTGGAAAGGCTGTTCGGCCTGGGAGGTCTTGTGCTTACCCCCAGAAGAAACAGACTTTCAGATAAACGTTTTGAAAGACTTCTCCTGATGAGGTATAAGCACCCATTCTGTGCTGATGTGGAATAGCTGCCACCCATGCTATAGACAACTCAAGCCTATGCCTAATATCCTCTTTTCTATCTGCCATCATACTGTGAAGAAGGGTCAGCATATTCAGTTAACATAACCTTTTTAATTCTGAGGCTAGTCATGTTTTAAGTTGTGCTTTATTTTATTTTGACTAAAATGTCTTTGCCTCTTAGCTGTATTATGCCATTTTATTTTATTTACACAAGCCATCGACATCAAACCATTTTTAAGTTATTCTTTTTTCTGTTGGATTAAGATGAGGTATTCATGTTTTATTTTGAGACATATGACCCATTTTGAGGTTACCATGTTGTTCCTAAGGAGCCTATGGATACTATATTTATAATAAAAAGCGCAAAAGAAATACCTGTTATGTCCTCCATAGTTTTACTTTATGTAGGCCTACACATTTAGGAACAGATATTGGGTTCTGTCCAAAGTCAAGCAACGTAAAAGTAACGTAAAAGTAACGAGTAACGTAAAAAGTTACTTTCCAAAGGGGGTAACTAAGTAAACTAACAGATTACTTTTTAAAAAAGTAACGGATTACTTTTTAAAAAAGTAACGAGTAACGAGCAAAAACTATTTTTGAAAGTAACTTCCCCAACACTGTAAAGAGGTTACAGGTTTATTGTTGAACATGTACAGTTTTATTTAGTTACTGTTACACTGGTTTGAGAGTCTGGGGGATGTGTTAACTTACAGTTGTTTATAAGCTGTGATTAGTTGTCGCAGTGCACATTACATCTCAATCTATCAAATGACCTATTGTGACCTCCAGGATAATCACCACCTCATGAAATGCTACAACCACAAACTAAAGACCTAGGCCATTCAGACGACATATGGCTTCCCTAGGTAAACTGACAATAATATACTCTCCAGAATGTAAGGGCTCGTAATCCATTGCTGAAAAATGCAATTCTTACAGAAAGCTCCAAACATCAAAAAGTTTTTTGATACCAAATCACAGATTGCATTTTTCTATGGTGTTCCTCAAGGTCTCAGTGTCTTAATGTGTTTTTTTTTTTAGATATTTTTGACAATTTTTTTTATCCATTTTCGAGTTGTCAAAAATTGTTCAATATTGCACCAAATCTGTGTAACAAATGGTTATGGCAATCATTTAGTTTTATCATAATGTTCTAAACCCTTATATACTCAAAAATTTGAATAGGCACCTAACCAGAACACAAGGTTTATTACAGATCTATGTCTAAAAAACTTCACAAACAGTACTGAACTGCATTTCAAATTAATCTTTAGCTTCCCAGCTTTCAGATGATGATATATACCTGCTATCTCCCCCTAAAAATCCCTTGCAACTTGGGAGGGTTGGAGTGGAAAGAGGCATTAACGCATCAAGCAGACAGAGAGCAAAATTAGTATTTATTTGGAGTGGTATTTCTGGCCACATGGTGAATGTAAATCCAATATTCACTATGCTTTTAGCTCTGTTTTGGTCTCCACCAACTGAAAAACCTAGTGTTGACGGATGTTAAAATTCTCCATTCAATACTCTGTTCTGTTTTCCTCATATGTGCTCCTCCATATATCCCAACAGGCATTATTAAAGTTTGAATTGATCTTAAGACAGTTAATAATTAAATGGTATGCATTAATTCTTGATATGACTTGTAAGTGTTGAGCATTGCAGAGTAGTTCACGTTCTGGTCTGAATTTCAGGTCCCTGAGCAGTAACTGCACTTCAGCAAAGCACGTCCTTTAATTCAAATGTGGTTAATAAAATAGACAGTGGGAGAGGCGACATGAGACTAATTACATACATGTTCTTGTGTGTGGTGTTTGTGTGGGACAGAGAAAGACAGAGAGAGACAAAGACAGAAAGAGAGATGAAAAAAGTAGAGCGCTAATCCAGTGATGAATCTCTGTGTATTTTGGTGCTGGCAGCCCTGATTTATCACCAACACTTTATTCAAGGTCCTGAAATTAGTAAGTCGCTCCACAAGATGGAAACCCGTGACTTCAGAGATGGTGAAAAAATGGGTGTCTACAGCTGTGTGTGTGTGTGTGTGTGTGTAAAGTAAATGTGCCTCTCTTTATGTGCATGCATTTAATGTGTTCACCTGCATGGGTTGCTCAATACTAATATGTGACAATATGTAATTCCGAAAGTGCAGTCATGGACAGACCTAATAGAAACACTTTTACCTCTGGGACAAAAGTTTCTTTAAGGTGCACATCCACTTCCCGGAAGATGAACAAAATATTAGCTGGATGATAGAACAAGCAGACTGAGGCTATTATAAAGTACAAAGGTCAGGGAGCTGGCGGGTGGGGGAGTGCCTGAGGACATTATGAGGAGCAGTACGCAGGCTGACGATGAAAAGGCTGCAGGGTCTGGCTGGGAGAATTTGTTGAGATGTAAGAGCGATACAGCAGTCTCTGCGTTCAGGGCGGACGCTGCAGGGGCTGAAGCAGTGAGATAATATAAAGTGCCTTTCTACAGCCTTAACTCCTCTCTCTCTCATCTGTTTCCTCACCCTCTCTCAATGTCTCTTACTCCCACCTGTTGGACAATAAAGCTTACATTCCAATGCTCCTGCTCCAAGATCTCGTTCCTATTTCCTCCTCTCTAATAGTCTTTTGTCCTGTTCTAATGGAGCCCTCACAAAGTCTACTTTACTACAGGGTATGTATGCTTCACATCACAGCTAACCACTTTGCAAACAATGCTGCTGTGTTCTTCTACAATTGCATTTTTTTCTATTCATTTCAGCAAATTATGAAAACCTATTGGCACACTCTTACTGTAGTTTTGAAATAGATAGCATTAGCTGTCCTTCTTTCAAATGTCCAGTTATGGTGAAGGCAAATGGCCTGTCTGTCAAGAACAAACATGACAAAGAGTTCACTGTACTCCAATGGCCTCCACAGTCACCAGATCTTAATCCAGTATCTCAATCCAACACCTTTGGGAAGTGGTGGAATGAGAGATTGACATCATGGATGTGCAGCCGACAAATCTGCAGACACTGCATGAAGCAGTGGTTAATGCCATTGACTTTGGTACAGAGGATCGTGGTTTCGATTCCCGGTTAGGGCGGGGGTATCCACACGGTCCTTAATGCTACCAGCCTACCTCAGGCATCAGTGAAACCACAAATACAAGAGCCATACCGGCTTGGACGTTGCCCAGGTCAACAAGGTCTGCGTCAGGTGCTAGGGAACCAGGGCAACCTGATGACATATGGGCTACTGAAACAAAACATTCATGGACTAGAGCAAAAAATATGGATCTGATACAATGCTACTATACAAGCAATCCCGGTGAGAGAGGTTATATGCAGAGACTATGGTATATATGGACACTTCGAAACCCATCATCAACACTGACAAAGAAACAACTCCTAGATCAGTGTTCTAACATCCACAAACGGCAACTGTTATCACAACAAGAGATTGATGAGGTACAACAAATATGTTACGGCAAGGGGGAGCGAGGATGACAGGTCAGAGGGGAGATGTTACCATCATCCCACACTCAGCGATTGGGTCCCAAGCCCCAATAGCAACACGCCCTTACGGCACAGAATCACTCAACATAAGGGCGACTGACCTACGATTGAAGATCATAACCAAGCTGGACCCCCAAGTACTACGACCAACATTGCCAATGCTAAGTGACAAAGTACCCTCTGAAAGTCTGCTAGAAGAAGTGAAGCCATAACCGAGACCAATGAGCTGATGTACGCGACAGCAACAGTGATCCCATAAAGCCACTCCCATGGAGGAGAAGGCTAGAGGTCAAGATCAAGGCAACACGTAGAAAGGTTAGTCAGAGCTACAGAAAGGTGCAAGGGAAGGGCTACCTAAGAAATACAACAAACTGTCAATACCTGAGGCTCTGGAGACTGCCAAACACAGACTTACCGCTCTAGCTACCCGCCTTTAGAGATACAAGAGAGAAGCAGGAGCCAGAACAAAAAAACGGATGTTCTCCACCGAACCATCCAAAGTGTACTCTCAGTGGCAGGGTAATAACACAAGATCATATCCACCCAGGGCTGAGACTGATCAGTACTAGAAGAACATAAGGGAGAAAGGCAGCAATCTCCCAGAACAAGATCCAGTAACCATTACAACGGCAGACATCCAAGAAAGAGTGGCAGGTATGAAAAGCTGGACAGCACCAGGCCCTGACATGAGCCACACCTACTGGCTGAAGAAACTAACTGCACTCCATGAACGGCTGGCAGCACAAATGAACCAACTGCTGATGGATGGGACCCACCCAGAAGGGTTAACCCAAGGATGGACAGTCCTGAAGGATCCCCAAAAGGGAACAATCCCATCCAGCTCAATACATGGACAGGGCCCAGAAGGGAATGGGCAGTGATACCAGGGGAGCAAAGCACCAGCTACTGGTTGATAGAGCAGTCACTCGAGACTGCAAGACCAGGCAGACCAATCTGTGCACCGCCTGGATTGACTACAAGAAAGCCGACGACTCAATGCCATATACATGGATACTGGAATGCTTGGAAATGTACAAGATCAACAGGACACTAATAGCCTTCATCAAGAACTCAATGGGGCTGCGGAAGCCAACTCAAAGCCAATTGCACAAGTCACCATCAAGTGCGTGTATACCAAGGCGATGCACTATTCCAGCTGCTGTTCTGCATAGGCCTGAACCCCCTCAGCCAGATAATCGACTGCATCTTGTGAGACATCGACTCACTGATCCACACTACCAGGATCTGCAGCAATGACATTGGAATGTCGTTCGGATTGGACATGTGTGGTCGCATGGTATCAAAAAGAGGGAAAATGATCAGAACATAGGGGGTTGAACTACCAGAAGGCCACATTGCAGATGTTCAGGACAGCTAATACCTAACGGAAACCATGAAGAGGCAGCAAGGAAGTCCGCCACAGCCAAATACCTACAGAAAGTAAGGCAGGTCGTGAAAAGTCAGCTGAATGGGAAGAACAAGATCCGAGCCATCAACACATATGCCCTGCCAGTCATCAGATACCCCGCTGGTATAATAAACTGGCCAAAGGAGGAGATAGAGGCCACTGACAATCAAGACAAGAAAGCTCCTCACAATGCATGGAGGGTTTCACCCCAAATCCAGCAACCTGAGACTGTACATCAAGCGTAGTGAGGGAAGCCGAGGGCTAGTGAGTGTCAAGACCACTGTCCAGGATGAAACCACAAAGATCCAGGAGTACATCAGGAAGATGGCCCCCAAAGATGCTTAGTGAATCCCTCAGGTAGCAGAAACCCAAGAGTGAGGACAAGGAAGACGAAGAACCTTCATGGAGGGACAAGCCGCTGCACGGCATGTACCACAGACAAATAGAAGAAGTGGCTGAAATCAAGAAATCCTACCAGT